AATTTTACATGTATTCTGTATGTCTGAATGTATGCGCATCATGTGTGTGTTAGAGTCTGAGGGGGTCAGAAGTGGGCTCGCAGGCAGCTCTGAGCCACCACGTGGGTGCCAGTAACTGAACTCTGGCCCTCCATAAGAATAGTTGGCACTCTAACCTCTCCAGCTCCTCAAAGACTTTTTGATGTCTAAATTATTTTATTTAAAATGTGGAAAGTTAGTGTACTGGAGAGGAGAACGTAGAAAAAGAATGCTGTATTCTAGGTCCTTTCTGATGTCAGCTAAGCTAATCCTCTCTGCAGTTCTCTCACTAGTTAATGGACCTCAATATCTTTTGTGACACTACGGTATAAGTTCCCAAAACAGTCCACAGCTGGACGGCATAGCTGGACATCCACCAAGGGCAGCTTTGGACCACATCATTAGCTAGTTAGGATATTTGAGTGTTTCAAAGGAAAAATCCCAAAGATGATTTGGTGTGATTAAAATACCTTTAAAATTAAACCTCATATACTTAAATATTTCAGAACATAAACTACTTCTAAGAGTATCAAATACTTTCTCAATTACTTTATCTTGAAGACAGAAAACACAGTTGGAAAAGAGACAATTGTCTGAAATAACTTCACTCAAGTTTTACGGGGATTACTGACATGATTAAATCGCCAAAACAGGAAGTGCCTTTTTAATGCAGATTTAGTAATTATTCCTGGATGTGAAGCTCTGTCACTGTTGGTATTGAACTGTCTAAATAGAATTTAAGAAATAATGATGCATGTCGGAGAAAAATGCCATAAGTGAAACTACTTCACAGAAAATGAAATGGCCAAAGTTTAGGAAAGTGTGTCTAATAATTCATATGTATAGGAAAGATCTCCAGAGAATGTTTAAGGAGTAAACAACTTTGGCACTGGGAAAGGGTTTCCTGGCTTCTGTCAGAATTATCTTCCTTCAGGACTGCGTTCTTCATGTGGTGAAGCACTTTACCACTAGTGAGCGAAAACTACCTAATGCTGTGCCTTAAAATATCGTTAGGATTCTTTAGCAAAAGGCTTTTTGTACATTTACATTTATCTTCTTAGGATGCAATATTGGAAAGATATTATTTGTACTAAAGGTCACGGACATTTGTTCTTATCTAAAGGCTCTAGGGATGTACACAGAAGTACCAAGGAGGGGCTGGAGAGGTGGCTCAGTGGTTAAGAGCAGTGGCTGCTCTTGTAGATAACCTGGGTTCGATTCCCAGTGCCCACATGACAGCTAACAACCATCTGTAACTCCAGTTCCAGGAGATTTGACCCTCTTCTGACCACCATGGGCATTGCATGACACAGGTGCACTTACATACATGCAGGCAGTATTCTCATACACATAAAATTAAAATAATAAATGAAATATATTTTAAAAAAGAAATACCAATGAGTGGTGGATCCTTAGAGCTACATATATCTACTAATGCTAGTTCAAAACATCATAATTCTATTAACCTAGAGATGGATAAAAAGTAGGGAGAACTCAGACCTGACCGTATATGAGCTGGGCATTTTCTTATATCTGCCTCATTTTTAGTTATTTTTTAGAACAAGAGAAAAGATTTAAGAGGTATTGTGGGTAACTGCACCCTGGCCTTTACTTGTGTCCACACTCAGAACAAATAGCTACAAACAATGATGAAGGTAGGCTCACTCTATAGGCAGGAGAGTGTGGAGTGAGTTAGAAGTCTGAATGTGACTATGTGTTGGATGCTGTTAGAGAATCAGAAATGGTGATGTTGGACACGACAGTGCTAAGGCCGCAGAAAAGAGCTTGATATATTCCTGGGTGAAGTCTGAGAACTTTCAGCAAAGCCGAAGTAAAGGTAAACTGGAGGAGGTGTCAGCCCTGGGTGCACCTATGTGGGTTCCAGCTCTTCCAGACTGTTTTCTGGGTCCTGAGAACCACTGTCTCTCCCCTGTGACCCACAGCAGTGCATGCCTTCCCAGCAGGGTAGAATCCAAGCTCAGGCCTCAAGCATTCTCAGGCCAAGCTATTGCCCCCAAACACAGAAAGAAACAGACCCCCATCCCTGAGCCAAATTCCTTAAATTTTTCCAGATACCCTGCCTGATTCCTTTGCTTCTCGAAGAAAAGTAGTCCTGTACTCCACTGTCCACCCGAGGGGGTCCACACTGCCACTCCCTTAAGGAAGGCCTGGGATGGGCATCCCTGTTTTCAGTGCTGTTTATTCTTTTTAATTCTAACAGTTTCCATCTCTAGGACAACTGGGGCACTCTCTGTGGGAATTCCCTGGCCCCTGATTTCAGGGGAAATACCATCTGCTGCTACTGATGTGGAGAGCTATTGTTGATGGTGTGCGGTGCTGGAGACAATCTGTAACTGTTCCCTCTTTGTTGTGCATCCAATTTGATTAGAAGTGTTCAAAATAACTGAAATACAAGTTCTGCTTCCATTGGATTTGATTTTAAATTTTAGTTTTATGCTACAGGAACAGACGGAACGGTAAAGAGACAACGCCAAGCTTTTAAAAAGCGATCAGGTACAGGAGGTGGGAGGCAGGGACTAGGCCATTTCTCCAACATACCACTGTTCTTCGGATTTATTTCTGGGGATTGACTTTCATAGACCATAGTAATGACTTTTAAAAAACTAGACTAATTTGGACATTGATATGGCAAAAACTTGTAAATGTCAGCAAAGAACGTACTAATGAAATAGACTGATTGGGTCATTCCTTGGCGAGGATTTGAGGTTGAAGTCAGAACTGGCCAAAGAGCTGCCTGTCTTCAGCTTCTCACATAACTGGAGGTCGTGGGTCCCAGCCACACTGCACACAGGCATTCATGTCTTGAGTGGCCACCATTAGACAGCAATGACCAAGTCACTTACAGAAGGAAACAGGAAGGGTAAAGTGGTACCTGACTAGTTCATGAGCTCACGGTACAAACAAGGGGAGGTTTTTTTTGTCGTTTTTTGTTTAAAGTGGGGAATTTCACTTCAGATAACATCTAATATAAGACTTCCCGTTCATTAAATCTAAGACACACGAGCACCTGGTAACAGACAGCTTTGCCCAGGGTGAGAGGCCAAAGGCAGGCACTCTCTACAAGTGAAAGAGAACCAGCTGCAACCAAACACGGCTTGGACAGGCAAGGAAGCATAAACACGTTTTCTCATTTAAAAAGTTGACACATCTTGAGAGTAACCCTTGTGTCACACCCGCAACTTGTAGCAGAAGGGAGCCACTGGTCAGGACCCTGAATTACTTACTGAACCTGTCGGAATACATTGCTTACAGTGACCAGGCTTTTCCTTTTCTGAGGCATCAGCTTAACATCCATTGATTTTGTGCATTGAGTTTGAACTCAGAACTGGCCTGCTGCATTAATGTCACAAGAAGTAAAATGTTTCTGTTATTGAAATAAAAACACATTTGCCATATGTAGGCAAATCATAAGACACCAGATCATAAGAAACGAGTCCACAACATTACCTCCATTTTCCTTGACATTCATAATAATCCTCAAAAGTTACTGTTTACCAACAAAATACCAACGTACCAGCATACCATTTCCATGTAAGCTATGGCCAGCAGTCTAGGGCTTCACTATCTTTTAGCTTTTTAAAAAGAAGTTGCTTTCATTTCCTTATTTATGTGTGCATGTATGCATAGGTGTGTGTGCATGTCATGACATATATATGCGTGACGGTCAGATGACAGTTTGCAGATGTCAGCTGGCTCCTTACGCCATGTCAGTTCCAGGGACTGAACTCAAGTCCTCAGGCTTCTCTGTGGGCACCTTAGCCCCTGAGTCATCTTGTCACCCTTTATAGTCCCTAAATTACACATAGTGTCAATAAAACTTCGTAAAACCTACACAAAAGAGTTAATAAACAGAAACAGCCTTGTCGTGCTCATTTGCAATTTCCTATAAAGTGAACATTGATTAAATTTATTTAAATGATAAATAAAATTGAGCTGCTATTTTCATAACTGCTTATGCTATAGTCTAAGGCGTATTTTAAGATACTTAAGCAAAGGTACAGAAATCACAGGTCACAGGCTGGAAAGATGACTTAGCATTAAGAGCACATACTGCTTTTCCAGCAGACCTAAATTTGGTCCCAGCACCCACATTTTGTGGCCCACAATTGCTTGTAATTCTGGGGATCTGCCTCCTTCTTCTGGCCTCTGAGGGTGATGTACTCACATGACATACAGTCACACAGACAGACACAGTGATAAAAATAAATCTAAAAGAAGAACTGGTAATCACTCCTGAGGGAGTCAGGAAGTATGGAGGAGCCAAAATAATTAACGTCAGATTATGTCTACTCAATAAGGATGGTACAGCAGCTAATCAAGGAAGGGGAGGGGAGGAGTAAGGACCAGCGAGGTGGAACGCTTACCTCCATGGCGCCCAGTAGGTTTGCGCTCTCCCCAATGCTCTCCTCTATGTACCTCCGTTCTTCCTCTGTGATGGAGGGATGCTTCGCAGGGCTCTCGTAGGACACCAGAAGCCAGAACATGTACCATACCATGCCAAAACTTCCTGCAAAGAACGGTTCACAGGGAGGAAGTCGAAGAGAATTGTCAGAAATAGAACAGCTACAAGTTGAAGAAAGTTGCGGTAACTCCAGTGCGAGGCCTTCTCCATGCTGGAGACTTTGCTGGGGCGCATTGTCAGAAATAGAACAGCTACAAGTTGAAGAAAGTTGCGGTAACTCCAGTGAGAGGCCTTCATGCTGGAGACTTTGCTGGGGCGCACCTTAGCTTGGGTTCCTGTCCTCAGCCCATCGACCTCACGTTTCCCAACACCCGGCACTGTGGTTTACCTTGGCCCTAAGCAGCCCAGGTGCACAACATCAAAAGCAGCTGCGGATGGACAATTGGGGAAGTGACCACACGTCCCACACTGGGCTACTGAGCAGTTCCAATCCAGATGCTCTGATAAGTGAATGAACAATAGACAAGATTCTCTCTCATCCTCAGAGAATTTCATGGGGGTGAAGGGTGAATCCTTTTCTTGTCTGCCTACCTTAACTTATAAAAGTGGTTCAACTCTGGGGGGGCTGTCTACCCCTCTCTCCTGTCAGCACCTACAGAGGCCGTAAACGGATTACTGAGTAAAATCCAGAGCTGTATGGATTGAACATAGGCCTCTATGCGGTTGTATGGTATGAACATAGACCTCTGTGATGAACATGGTGCTATTTCACAGGATGTGAGTGTATACCGTGTCTTTTGCCTGCTTACCATCCTTTAGGACGAAAGCTACACGTTACCAGACCAGGAATACCGGTCTCTCCTTTCCCTTCCTGTGTGTCAGTCATTCTCATCATGAAACCACGTTCTTAGTGTGCATTACAACCTGTAAGCACTAAAGCAGACCCTAAAGTGACATCCTCCGCTCTCCTAGAAGCTGGTCAGACCCTCCCCTCATTCCTCGGAACAACTGAGCTCTCTCATCTGTGTTCATCCATCTGCTCTTTACAAGTTTTCCTCAATACCAAACAAAGTTCCTACCTGCTGCCTTCCTCTTAACTCCTGAACATGGATGCAAACAAGATTTGAGGTCAGATAGTGTAAGAAATTCTTGTATTGTATGATTATAGAAGAGAATTTTCTCAGATTTTCAAATCTTGTCGTTCCTCAACTACATGATTCAGTTAGTAACAGACTCTACACCTCCTCTGTAAAATGGAAAAGCTCTTGATATTTTTTTTTCTTTTTTGAGGCAGGGTCTCAGTATCTGTCCCAGAATAATCTCCAATTCAGAATCCTCCTGCCTGAGTGCTGGGATCTCAGTGCTTACAGTCAGACCTGAGTGCTGGGATCTTAGTGCTTACAGCCAGACCTGAGTGCTGGGATCTCAGGGCTTATAGCCAGACCTGGCCAGAAAACAATTCATTTCTATGAGTTTGTGGTAAAGTGAAAGGATATGATTTTTTTTAATTATTTAAAAAATATTTTATTTATTATGTTTATTTTATGTGTTTGCATGTATTGCCTGCATGTATGTGAGTGCACCTATAATGTAATACCCATGGAGGGCAGAAGAGGACGTTGGATCCCCTGGAACTGGAGTCATGGACAGTTTTTAGCTGCTGGGATTTGAACCTGGGTCTTCTGCAAGAATAGTCAGTGTTCTTCACACTGAGCCATCTCTCCAGCCCCAGAGGATATGAGCTTTAAGGGAAACAGCAGAGTGCTTGACAGAAGCAGATCGTCTAACAAGTGAGAGCTCATATTCAGTGCAGACTCAAACAACTGGACTCATTCATACCCTACATTCCAAGGTGTTCGTGACTGTCAAGAACCAAGTACATCTACATGCCCCTGCCGTCTACTTGAGCCATTTCACATGTGATATTTCTTCAGTTTGCTCCACTGCCCAAGTTTTATCTCATTATTTTTATTTTTTAAATTTTATTATTTTTATTTTATGTGTATGCATGTATTGCCTGCATGTAGGTAAGTGCACCCGTGTTGTGCAGTGTCATGGAGGTCAGAAGAGGGCGTCGGATCCCTCTGGAACTGGAGTTAAGGCTGGTTCGTAGCTGCCATGTGGGTGCTGGGAATCAAACCCGGGTCCTTTGCAAGAACAGTCAGTGCTCTTAACCGCTGAACCATCTCTCCAGCCCCATCTCATTAATTTTTAAAACGAAAATGCTGAATACATTACTCAAGACCCAGTGTCTGTTACAACACATAAACATGCATTGTATATTTTCGAATATCTAATGTGCATCCTCCGATGCTCACTCAGCCATAAACATTAAGCGAAGTACATGTTGAAATAATGACTTTCTTAAATTAGCATTCCTTTCCAACATAATGGTGTCTGAGATGTTTATGACGTTAAAGTCTCATCATATCTTCAACTAAGTCACAAACTGAGGCAAAACCAGAGGACTCTGTGGTTTTCCACAGCAAGTACCAGCTGTATTGAGTTACAGGCCCCTGTGAAAATCTAACAAAAAGTGTGCCTTAAAATCTGATTTTTAAAGGTCTCAGTAGGGAGTCAGTAAGATGACTCAACAGGTAAGAGTGTTTTCCACCAAACCTGAGTTTGACCCCCAGGGCCCACATGGTGGAAAGGGAGAACCTACTCCTGCACACAGTAAATAAGTAAATGTGTCTTTTTTTTTAGTTACTAAAAAATTCTTTTTAGATAAACATAAGCAGGCTGGGAGACAATTCAGTGGGTAAAGTGCCTGCTGTGCAGACATGAGGACCCGAGTTCAGATCCCCATAAACACAGGTAAAAAGATTCAAGCACCAGGAGCACTTGTGATGGACCCAGAGGAGAGGGGCGGATCCCAGGAGCTTCATAACCGGTCAGCCTAGCCAACTGATGGGGCTTAGTGGGCTTTAATTTCTGCTGCTGTAACAGATGATTCCTGATATTCATCAAAGCTGATTGTTGAATTAGTGTAACCAGCACCTCCTAAACCAGCCACCCCTGTTGACCAGGCAGAATCAGGGGCCAAGAAATGACAGCAGGAAATAGAGGTGAGTGGTAGCCAGCTGTTTCCTCCTCAGCAGCTTTTAATCAGGACCTAATTATCTTCTTTATCATAAGAAGCACATGATATATTTTTATATTAAAAAGTAGGAATAAAACAAGAAACAGCAATAATAGAAAACAACACAAGTCTTTTCTTTGTTCCTATTGGAATAGAAAATGAAGAAGATAAGTAAATAAATTTTTTAAATGCATTCAGCTCAGTGCATAACCGTGTCTATCTTAGCTTATGATTTTCTATTGTAAAATAGTGCAGCAACGTACCATACACATAGAATACCGAAGACCAGCCAGTGTACTGCACGAGAATTCCTGCTAAAGGCATCGCAATGACAGCTCCAGCGTAGGAACCTAGGAGGGAGGGACGATGGGAAGACAGTACGGTAGAGCTTTTCCTCTCCCATAAACCCCCTGGGGCTTACAGGAACACACTTGCACATTAAGCTGCAATACACATACCCCACGTTCCACTAACCATATCCAACCCTACAAACTTACACACAACCCTACATAGACAAAACCACTGGACCACAGCAAAACCACCCAGCTACCCAGGACATGCCAGAGATTTGAAAACGAGAGAGCCTGCTGCTTGGTGTGGTCCTGAGCAGCTGCGCTAGGCTGGAGGCAAAGTGGGTTACCACTCAACAAAAACGAGGCGTCTGCTCCTGAAACCCAGCAGCGTGTCACCTTGTAGCAGAACCACACAGTTCTGGCTTTGCGTGGTGTCTTCGACCTTCGTTTAAAAGCTTATCGAAGATGGCTGCGAAAACAGTACCTTAGATATCTAGGCATAAACTGCGATGTTCAGTTATACCTCAGTGCCTATAAATCCAACATGTGTGGATGACACGCACTATTTTCTCTTGGTGTATTTGCAGTAGCTCTGATCCTGAACTTTAAAGGGGATTTTTATTTGCCCTCAGTCTGATTTAGAAATGGAATTGGTTTCTTGACTAGCAGTTTGGGAGTCAAAAACAGAAAACTTGAGTATATGTAATAAAAAATAAATAAAAAAAAAGAAGACCTTGAGTCACATTAATTGTCTTTAATAGAATTAGCAGTGAAACAAAATATTTTCAAGTTTCCAAAATGCTCCAAGTGCTAAAAGCTTAAACTGAAGTTCATCAGTTGTTTCCTAAAGCGGCATTGAGGTTTTGTTTCCTAAAATAAAAACTTCAGTGCGCAGAAAATTATAGTAAAAATACCTAGGAAAGCAGGAGGGGTCGTGTCCAATCTCGTGACATTTTCAAATTTTTAGAACATCTTTTATTTTTTATATTTTTATTATTTGTACCAGCATTTAATGTGTTCGGTGTCATTACGGCATTTTTGACCAGTGAGTATTTGTCCTTCTTCCTCCACCTGCTCACCCCGACCCCTTGTCCCCTGTGGAACCCCGAGATTCTTTCTCTCTGTTAGGTCCCATGTGGTCCTCCTCATCATGTATTATCACACTCTTTGTTTCCTTCCTAGCTGTTTAGACTTCACCCACACTTATATCTGTTTCCATAAATAGTGCTGGCTAGGATCCTCATATAAGGGCTCGCTAAATGCTACACTTTCCAGATCATACACGTTCCTGAAATTTTCATGGTTTTATTTTTCTTTAGCTGAATAATATTCCATTGTGTATATGCACCACATTTCATTATCCAGTTATCTGTTGACAGTTCCGTTTTCTTACTATCATAGTGACTTGGATTTCACCAATTTGTCCACGGTAATTCTAACATAATTGTTCCAGATACAAATCCCAATGAACTATTACATTTAATAAAAGCAAAATTAGTATTTGCAAACATAAATCTATCTTATTCATTTATTTGTTTCTACTTTGCAAATATGCTTAAAATTTGTGTGGTTTTGTACATGTGTATGGCTTATCATAAAGAGAAAGTTGTATTGGTATTCTCAGAATAATATTATTGTTATTATAAAATTACTCATGGGGCTGGAGAGATGGCCAGCAGTTAAGAGCACTGGCTGCTCTTGCAGAGCACCCAGGTTCGGTTCCCAGTACCCACATGGCAGCTACCAACCATCCGTAACTGCAGGTCCAGAGGATCTGAACCCCTCTTCTGACCTCCACAGACATTGCACAGCATGTGTGCGACTACCTCCATTCAGGCAATCACTCATACACATAAAATAAAAATAAATAATTTTAAAAATCACCCATGAATATATTTAAAATCCTAGATGAAACTGAGCAGCTCAGAGAGTACAAATAATGGAAAAAAAAAAATCTGGGTTTTAAGGATACCAGTAAAACTACAGAATTGAAATAGTAGTCAAAAACCTTACCCCACCCCAAACCAAAAGGCTTTACAGGTGAGTTAAGCAAGCTTTGGATTCCTATGTAAATGGTCCCTAAACTTCCACCCAGCAGGGCTACAGGGGCCCTTAACTCACCACAGAAGGAGGTGGTAGCCAGCCTACTCCTCTCCAAAGGAGGGGCCCACTTGCTCCAGATCCCATGACAGGCTGGGTAGGTGACACCCTGGATGGGAAAACAAACATCAGTATGCAGGACACAGGGCCCCTGGAATCACCACATCCTCTGTCCACTTTGCCAAATCTGTTTCTATCAGGATGGGAAGGAGGTTTTAGACAACCTGGTACTTGTGGGTTCTTACTGACCCCAGGGGAATCCCATTTGTAAAGCTTCACACAGACCACAGAAAGGACAGCCTTTTCTGTGCCTTCATCAAATGCTTCCTCCTTCCAAGTCTTCCATTCACCTCAATTCTTCTGATTAAAGTGAAAGCTAAGACTATATAATAAGTAATTTATCTATAATTCTAAATAGCTCATGACATGTGGAGAGCTTTTGTAAGTTACTAAAATGAGTGATTCCCAAATGTAAGGACCCTAAATAGAAGTTTAGGTGTGCTTAGAATTTAAGAGATTAAAAATAATTAGTGCTCCAAACATTTTGCCTCCATCCTACCCTTTTTTTCTTTTCAGAAGAAAAATTTTTCAGTGCCTTAATATATTGTTAGCCTATTGCTATCATACCCCACGAGAAGGGGTAGCTCACAGGATGAACTCAAATTGTTTAATGACTTTCTTTCAAAGTCTTCAGGATGGTACATCAAGAGCCAATCAAAAGGTTATATGGCTAGAGAAAATGCTCAGTTACATACTTCAGTATGATTGAAGGCTAACAGAGACTTCACATAAAACTCTCAGGTGCTGGGAATACGGCTCGTGGCAGTGGGGTACGTGTGTGCAAAGCCCTGGGCTTCAGCCCCAAATACCTGACTGTTTAATGTTTCCAACATTTCATTTTTTATTTTAGCATTATGCAGTACAAGTTAAAAGTTATTTATCAATGAAGACAAAGATGAAATGGTAGTTTTCAGTGACACCCAATTTGAAACATCACCCTGCGGTTCCCTACCTCCACAAGTCCCTGCAATATTCTAACGAAGATGACGCATCCATAATGCACTCTGGCTGCAGACGGGATCAGCATGTTGAGGGTGGAGGTGAGGAGGATGGCAGCTCCAAAAACCCTGGAATCAAATGATGGGAAGACTGTAAGGACTTGGCATCGTTCACACAGCTAAACTCGGGCAACATGATCATTTAAGATACTCAACAATCACAACCAATTTTAAAGTAAATATTTTTCTAAAACTGTATTAATTCAACTGTGAACCTAGAAACTTGCACCCACTTGTGAGATGTACTCTTGCTCTGGAGTGTGTTACTGAATATGTTAAAGCTGTAGTGAAATGCTTCTTCTAATCATGTAGTTATTAAAATTTTTTAAAAATAATGATTAAAAAATAATAAATCTTCAGAGCATGAAAATTGGCCTCCTTAATAGTTAGTAGTGTGAAAAACATTACCATTGAAATTTACCTGACGACTTTATATCCATGCTCAGATGCCAAGGATCTCAGAAAGTAACTGACTGTGACTAGTAATAATCAGATATATAGAGATTAGAAATGCATGTGCAAACATCTTAATGTCAATTGCATTAAAAATGAATTTTTCTATATGAAACTGTGTATTTTAATAATGAAATGGAGATCTTTTTTAAAGGTTAAAACCTCATTTAATTTTATGTCCTATAGGGTTTATACTGAGTACAATATTGTATAACTGTAATAATTCAACCATAAACCTAAAAATTTAGAGCCAATTTTGAAAGCGATGCGTCGTAGCTCTGGAAATTGTTATTGAATATGTCAACGCTGTTGTCATGAAATGCTTCTTCTAAGTACGTGGTTATTAAATAATTTTTTAAAAAATTGGGAGATGCAATTTAAACAGTATTTAGGGAAAATTTTATAGCACTGAAATGGGCTTTTTTCTTTAAAAATTTTAATTGAGTTTCTGTAATTTCATACAACAGTTTTTAATCAAATTTAGACGCCCTCCCCCCATTCACACCTCCCCATTAAAATAAAGAATAGAACAAATTGGAATTGATTGCCTGGCTATCACGAATGCACCCTTGACCTCTATAATAGTTACATATTATTTGATGTGCAAGAAGTAAAAGTAGGTTGAGCCAAGTGTGGTTGTGCACAACCTGCAATCCTGGTATTTGCCAAGTGATCAGGAGTTCAAGGTCAGTCTTGGGTAATAGCAAGTTCAAGATCAGCCTAAGCTATGTGAGACTTTGTCTCAAAACAAAAAAGAGCCAATGACTCTGATTATACTTATTTGCACTTACTTTATTCATAGAACTAATTAAAGACTGAACTATTTAGCGAATCGCTGTGTTTGTCACTTTGTTATGTAAGGCAGGGGCCGATCTCTTCACCTGTCACACAGAACCTACGTGTAGTTCCAGAAGAGTCTCTGAGAAACACTGATGGATGCAGGAGTCGGGTGGCGCCTCCTTTGTGTGACTTCCCAGTTTCCATAGAAGCTTCAGACACATAGAATTTTATAAAAGCAACAACCTCAGTGCCCCCGGTGATCCCGTGGTCAGCGCCACAGCAGGTTTCTGTGTTACAAATGACGACAGTAATGTAGCAGGGCCCATGTTCACCTTCTGTTCCTTTCTTTTTGTTTTCTTTCTTTGTCTGGGGGGTTATAGAGGTGGGCAGACTCTGTCTGAGGCACACATCCCCAGCATCATACACACACACACACACACACACACACACACACACACAACTCAAGAATTGTAGGATAACTGCTAAAGAGTCTTTCTTTTCACAAGTGAAAAAAATTCCATCTAATAGTTCTTTTTAAGGGTCCATAGTTTTCACACTAAAAAATCAGAGTGCCCTCTCAATGGGAACCTCAGACTTGGTTGCACGCAGAGGTTAAGTCGGGAAGACATCATTCCTAATGAACTAGTCCCTGTGTTTCGGAGAAGCATCTGCAGGTCACACTCTGAGCCTTTAGTGCAGGCCAGGTAGGTTTCCCGCCTTCACTTTCTGATTTTTCCAGAGACGATTCCAATGCAACTGTTAATAATCTGAATTTCTGAGGAGACCTTGATTATTATTAAACGCCACTGAAATTTAGTAAATGACTTTATAAGGCACCAATGAAGGGCATCTGTTTTTCTATCCAAGGTCTGGGCAGGTGGTTTCGTTAAGAATCCGTAGCTGCATCCACCTCTCCTGAGTCTCTCCCCACAGAGGTAAGTCATCAAACTTGGCATAAATATACAGCTCTGTGTTCCTCTGTCCCTGCTGCTGAATGTACATGCTCTGCTTTGAGTCAAAGATGACACAGCAGGCTAAGATTTGAGGTGGCATGGTGGGGGCGGGTATCCTATTTATCCACATTGGATTAATTTTATTTTCTGTGATATAATTTCCTGTCAGTGGGGCTGGAGAGTTGTCTCAGCGGTTAAGAGCACCGGCTGTTCTTGCAGAAGAGCCAAGTTCGAATCCCAACACCCACGTGGTGGGTCACAAGCATCCATAACTCCACTTCCAGGGAATCCCACAACACCTCTTCTGACCTCCGCAGGCACTGCACAACACAGGTGCACTACATACCTGCAGGCAATACATTCATACACATAAAATAAAAATAAATCCCCCCCCCAAAACCTTCCTGACACCACTTTCTTCCACTTTGGAGAGAGTTTTAAAATGGTGTTGTCATTTAATTAGATGCAAGGTCCTTTCCCACACGTTTTGTTACCTCAGAGTCCCCACCTCTGTACTGCGGACGTTTCGGTCTGGGTAATCCTAGGTTGTTGGGCACTGCCTTATGCATGATACAGTGCTTAGTCCCATCTCTGAACTTCACCCACTAGGCGCCAATGATATTATTTCTCCTAGCCTCAAGTTATAACAACTGAAAATTTCTGTAACGATTACCAAATATCTTTCAGAGGACAAAACCGTTCCCATGGTGGGGCGAACTACTTGTTGAATGCCTACAGCAGAGTTCAATTTAATGAGAACTTATTTTACTCGATAGGTGCCAAGCGAGACTTCAGGTGCTGTAAACTCCACAACCTCTTAACCCATCAGCAGAGGCAATAGTTCACTCATATTACACTTAAAATGTGATCCTCGAAAAGGGAGGTCAGTCTTTGAAGTTGTTAACCAGTTCTAAGCCAAGGAGACCTGTGTTTGATCCAGTTCCAACCTGTTTCATTTCAGTGGGCTTTGCCACTGAGATCTACATACCACAATGCATGTACTATACAGTGAGCAATGCATTTCGGGATTCTCACTTTACATTTTAAAAGTAAACTTCACAAACCTACGTGAAATCATCCTATTCCTGAAATAATATAATACATCAAGAGGTCATTTTCAATGTCTACTTTCCACGCTCCCCTTAACCGCGTTCTTTGGGAAGCAAGGCATGCTGGAGAGAGAACTCAGGGCCTGGCAGATGTTAGGCAAGTCCTTTATCACTGAGCCACACCCCTAGCTTGGTGTAACCTCATGGCATCATCTGATGCTCCTAAGCTTATTAGTTCCTTCACTGTCAACTCTTGTTATTACTATCACTTCTGAAAGTACATTGACTTTATTCTAACCAGTTAAAAATAAGATCTATCAAAGCTTGCACGAATTTGGAGGGTGAATGAGATGCGGCTCTAATTTAGTTATGATGTATATGCGTATCTGAGTAATTAAAGTTTGGAGTATCAAGTTCGTGCCCCATGTGGAAAGCCTTTCCACTCTCCCACCACCAGGGTTGAAGCTGTTTTTCCACTCGCCGCTCACTGTGCATGCTAAGTTCAATGCTTGTGATCTGGATTCAGAGCAGTGTATTTGGGCTCAGATAGGGGTCAAAGATTTGCAGAGCTCCTACCAGAACACCTCCATCAATGTTAACTGGGCTAATCTTCCTAGAACTTTCTGAGTTAGACTTTCTTCACCTTCTCGTTTTAAAAATAAGGGAGTTGGATCAGAAAGATTGGCCAAGAAAATAGCAAATATTTGAATTCATATCAATGGGGCATGAAAATGTGTGTCTACTCTATGAGGGCATTGCAGATGTCCTGAGAAGAGTCGCGATGGGCCATAGTGTGGTCGAAGAGGAACGAGGAGCGACAAGGACCCAGGAGACAGTGCTGAGGGCTGGAACGGAAGCCACTGCAAACCAGGGGGAACACGCACTCCAGTGACCAGAAGGCACAGCTGTCACGGAGACGCCTTCTGGTCAGGCCTGGGAGATGAACGCAACAGAGAAGAAATCCCCAAGCACAGGGATGAACCACGATGGCTCAAAACTAGAAGGCCCCATTACGCACAGTGGTGCCCGGCTTAGCAGACGCTGCTCAGGGTGTGTTGCACAGACTGAGATGCTGCAGCTCTGTCCAACATAACCTTACAGCAGGTAACCCGCCCTTGGCTGAAATGTCTCCACGACACACGACTGGACCAGAAAGCAGAGCGGTATTGAAAGTGGTTGAACACGTGGTCTTGGGAGAAGAAGCAAGGACCACAGAGTGGACAGTGAGAGGAGGGATTGAACAACGTGGACTGGACAGGAAGGACCACAGAGTGGACAGTGAGAGGAGGGATTGAACAACGTGGACTGGACAGGAAGGACCACGGAGTGGACAGTGAGAGGAGGGATTCAACAGTGTGGACTGGACAGGAAGGAATGTGGGCAAGTCCACTACATCACAGAAGTGGTAAAATTTGGGGCGACATTAGACAATGAGAGATGATTTTGCTCCTAGGCTGGCAGGAGTGTGCAGCTGACTGGAACGGAAGGGGGAGAGGTCTATGAATGCAGGAAGGCAAACGTGATCAGGAGCCTGGACACCCGGGCGGAGAAGCAAATGACCAAGCCACTGACAGCGGGGAAAGGGAGCTAAGGCTGGCACAAAGGCATAACAGGTTGTCGTAGGGAAGGGAAGGGACTCTGAAGAGGGAAGAGATTCAGGGAGAGGGCAGATGGCAGAGTGGTTTGCACTGCATATGTGTGGAAGTCATGGTGATGCACATGTTGTTAATAATTACAACAAAATGTGTGGAACTGTGTAGTGATTTAAAAGAAACAATAGCCAGGGCTCAGAAGAGCAGCGGAACCCAGACCCACACAGCCTGGGTTCAATGGT